ATACTCTTATGGAGCCGCCCCATTAGCCTACTCTGCAGGATACACCCATGGAGTAGCCGCCCCATTGGCTTACTCTGCTGGATACGCTCACCAAGCAGCCCCAGTCGCCTATTCCGCTGGATATGCTCACCAAGCCGCTTACTCCTCTGGTTACTCTCACGGAGTTGCCGCTCCAGTCGCCTATTCCGCTGGATACGCTCACCAAGCCGCCCCAGTTGCCTACTCTGCTGGATACGCTCACCAAGTCGCCCCAGTTGCCTACTCTTCCGCCCCAGCTGTATCTTACTCAAGCATCTCTGCTCCAGTCGCCACCTACGCCAAGACCATCGCCGCCCCAGTAGCTTACTCTGCTGCTCCAGTCGCCTACTCCGCCCCAGTAGCTCACGCTTACTCCGCCCCAATCGTAGCTAAGACCATCGCCGCCCCAGTAGCAACCTCCTACTCTCACTCCACCGTCACCAAGTCCGTAGCTCCAGTAGCCACCTACGCTGCCGCCCCAGCAGCCTACTCTGCCTACTCCGCCCCAATTGCTCAAACCTATTCCAGCCCGATCGTCGCCAAGACCATCGCCTCTCCCCTGGCCTACTCTGCCTACTCCGCCCCATTAGTAGCCAAGACTGCTCACGTCTCCTACTCCGCCCCATCCATCGGCTACGCAACCAACTACGGATGGTAATTCCTATGTAAAATATGTACCCAACATTGTTATGTTACACCAAACAAGAGAAATAAATTAATTTAATTAAACCTCGAATACTTTTGATTACATCCCGGAATAGCGTTTTAAATACGAACGCTGTACGCATCCAATTAAATTGTGAATACTCGTTTTTATTAATTATGCGCTGCTTTAATAATGGAACCGTGCAAATTTCACGGTTCGAAAAACAATTCGAGTGGGCAAAATGAAATGGATCAATGTAAAGTGTGTCAAGAGCAAAGGTCCTATGTACCATAACAGGTTCATAACCGAAAGTGAAGAAAAACAATCATTGCAAATGATTTAAGATGCGAGTAAATACGTATGCGTCTTATGACCTCAGGCAACATACATAATTCTTTTGTTCGCCCTAAATTGAAACGACATTCGATTTTAACACTTCGACCATTTCCCAATATTTAATTACAATTTATTCGATTTGAATACTCAGTAAATTGCTATTTAGACCTTCTATCATTATTTAATTATAATATCCCATATATATTTATGTTTCAAATTCAGTCGATTTTAATACACTGTAAATTGGTCTTTATTAACTAATAACTACTTTCGTTTATTACTACTACTTACTGTTATAAAGCGGTATGTTGTATTACGCAATGGATTAACGATCTGTATATTCACATATCAATCCATTCAATCCTTATCTTTTCATCGACAAAACTTTGAACCTCTTCAATTTCTCATTTGGTGATCAATTTATCTCCAAAATAGAATAGATTTTAATATGACTTCTTATATCCAAATTTTTTCGAAGTATCACTCTTACATATAAATATTTTGTTGTTCTTTTCAGTAATCAATCATCCAACACATATCTTAGTTGGGCTAAATTCATATGTCGATTATAGATCGTTTATGTCTAATCTGTCATCGTGAAGAAAAGACGTTGTATTTATTATGTAATTTGTATTTAAAATATAACCTCTTGATACGGTTATCGGTAGTATCATTTACAAGCACCAATTAAAGTGGGTAAACAATTAACAAAGAAGCTTCATACCTTCTGTCTTAGTTTTCAAAAGTAACGTCAATTGGTCAGCAAGTCGTTTGTTATACAAATATAACAAATATAAAAATCTTTCGCAGAAGTGTAGTTTAGCTGAATTTTTGAAGTCTGAACTGTTTGTTAACCGTGTTAACCTTTTATTTTAGATGATTGCGATAATCATTAGGTAATTATTGTTATGTTACTGGATTTCGATTAATAAATGATATTTGGAGTATAAAGTTCGGCTATTATAATTAATTGAAAGTGGTCGAATATTTCCATTAAGAGAATGTTGGCCCGTCGTCAGCCCCACTTCACGAAACAATATTTGGTATAAAAGTGGTCGACAATTTCAGAAAAATCATCATATCCACATCACGATTACATCAACCAACAATGGTATTCAAGGTATTTACGAATTTGTTTATTATTAAAATTTTCAAGTCATTAATATAATATATCTTCGCAGTTCGTAGTTTTGTGCGCCGCTTTGGCCGTAGCCAGCGCTGGTAACTTGGGATACACCTATGGAGCCGCCCCATTAGCCTACTCTGCAGGATACACTCATGGAGTAGCCGCCCCATTGGCTTATTCTGCTGGATATGCCCACCAAGCTGCCCCACTCGCTTATTCTGCTGGATATGCCCACCAAGCCGCCCCACTCGCTTATTCTGCTGGATACGCTCACCAAGCCGCCCCAGTCGCCTATTCCGCTGGATATGCTCACCAAACCGCACCATTGGCTTACTCCGGTAGTTACTCTCATGGAGTTGCCGCTCCACTTGCCTACTCCGCTGGATACGCTCACCAAGTCGCCCCAGTCGCCTACTCTTCCGCCCCAGCTGTATCTTACTCCAGCATCTCTGCTCCAGTCGCCACTTACGCCAAGACCATCGCCGCCCCAGTTGCCTACTCTGCTGCTCCAGTCGCTTACTCCGCCCCAGTAGCTCACGCTTACTCCGCCCCAATCGTAGCTAAAACCATCTCTGCCCCAGTTGCCACATCTTACTCTCACTCCACCGTCACCAAGTCCGTGGCTCCAGTAGCCACCTACGCTGCCGCCCCAGTCGCCTCCTACGCCAAGACCATCGCCGCCCCAGTTGCCTACTCTACCTACTCCGCCCCAATTGCTCAAACCTACTCCAGCCCTATCGTCGCCAAGACTATCGCCTCTCCCCTCGCTTACTCCGCCCCATCTGTCGGTTACGCTACAAACTACGGATGGTAATTCCAAAGTAAAATATGTATCCAACATTGTTGTATTACACCAAACAAGAGAAATAAATTAATTTAATTTAACTCCCAATACTTTTTATCCCTTTCAAAATTAGTGTTAATAAGTCGAGAACAAACATGTATTTGTTTTATAAACAGATTTTTTTGTAGAGGTGACCGTTGTTAGTTAAGCGATCACCACCTATTATCGGTAATTGTAAGTGTCAGTAGCCACTTTGAGTTCGTAGACCTCCACTACTATTTAACACTACAATTTTGTTCGTGTTGTAATGATGTCTTCAGATCTTCAATGATCATTTATCTTCCTGATGGGTGCGGATACTTCGGAGCGCACAATTAGCGGTTGTAATAAATTGCCAGAGGAACAGTGCTGCCGCCTTTTGGGGCGTACGAAGCGAAGCGACTTGTGTTGTTGAGGTATGGATGAGTTGGGAGCGAGCTTTGAATAATTGAAAGGGCCGACTTCGTAGGGCTTCGCTTCAGTTGACCGAAATTGGCCTCTCTCTTTCTCTCTCAGTCTCTATCTAACTATCTCTCTCTCTGTCTTCCTCTCCCTTTTTGCAACCCCAACCGGTGGCCAGAAGGGATGAAGCATTCCGGTCGTAACGGTGGCGAAGTAATAAAGGACTCAAGGGAACATTAGCCTCTTCCCCCCATGACCACGACCACGTGCATGCATCCGCAAACCCAAAATGAAACTTGTCTCGCAAAACAAGCTCCATTTTCAAGAACTATTTACTTGCATTTAATCGGCGTGTGGGTATAACGCGAACACGGACATGGCACACCACACCCAGGCCACCGCATAAATCACAGAACAGAATAGAGAACAGGAAAAACGCGAGTACGTAATCCGTACAACAAAAAATTAAACAAGAAATAAAAAGAATGGAAGCAAGATTTATTCGTTCGTACGAGAAAATGCGCTTTTCTCGTTCGTTATATTCAATTACCTTTTCCTCTCTTCTCAGCAACATCCACCGTGCTCAAAAACAAACGCAATTAACGTTACCCAATGTGTCCAAAAAAAATATATATATACACACGAAAATAAACAACATCGCAACAGGCAATAAACACAAATTAATTAATTGAATTTCAATCTGAACGCGTAATCCCAGTGCTTTATAGGACTATTTAGTAGCAAATAGTTTGTTTATTGACATTGCAAAATACAAAACAAATGGTGTATATGGATTTCATTAAACATGCGCTAAATTCGTAATAGCGTAAACTTTACGCGCTTTGTGTCAACTAATATGTTTAATCAAAATTTATATTTTGACTACTTTAGTTTCTTATAATAATTTTTAAATTAAAAAATTCACTTTTATTAATAATAATAACATTTATTGCAACAAATTACCACAATACAAACTCAAGAAAATTACATAATAAAAAAAATAAAATCAAATTGACTTGCTGCAAAGTGCTCACTTTTATAAATGTCATTAACAAATTCTTTAAAGAAATAATATTATTTGCTACATATATTGAATGAACTAACAAATACAGCAATACCTCGCATAGATTCGATCAGTAAGGATTGACTAATAATGACAATGGAATAGTTTATTCAATATAACGAGTTATGTAGATTTGTAATGTATATGACAGATCAGATAATAATCTGTTTTTTTACAAAAGTTATTTGTATTTGACAACTGTTGTAAGCAGGTGTACCAACTATATACTTTGCGATTTGAAATTATGGATTCCGATCATGGTGATGACAGATTTGACATAAACGTGTTATAACCTATAAATAAAATCTATGAATATAAACTAAGATATTTGTTGAAATAAATGTAAAAACTGTAAAGATTCAAACATTTTAAAATAAATTTAGTTTATTGATTGCATATTATATATACACTATATATTGCAATGATTCTTCCAAGAAAGAAATGAAAATTTGATAACGTAATAAATTATTTAGCAAATATATTTATTCTTTCAAAGAAGTTGTCAATGAATACAGTAAAATTGAAGAAGCATTTATAAATTGTTTCGCAGACAAGATCATTTTTTAACAAATTAGTGTATTATTTATTAGTATAG